TCATATATTCTTTAAGTTTTCACTTCATATATTTTGAAAATATAATGTTTATAGAAAAGTTTCAAGAATCTTACAATTAACTCATATACTTTTTACCTAAATTCACCAATTGTTCATAGTTTTTGCTGCTTGGTTTCACAACTCTTCTCTTCCTCTCTTTCCCTGCATCCCATATACTCACACACACACTTACTGGTGTTATATTTATTGTTATTAATGCTGAATTGTTTAGATAAAATCTCAGGTATTATGGCCCTTTACCTTAAGTACTTGATATCCTGACAACAAAGGAAAAGTCATTTCTTGGATAATCACTGCACAATGATCAAAATCAGGATATTTAACAATTAGAAAAAGCAGTCATTTAACATATGGTATATACTCAAATTTTGCCAGTTATTCAGGTAATTTCCCATTTTTTGTTTTTAGAGAAGGGAGTTTCACTCTGTCAACCAAGCTGGAGTGCCGTGGCTTATCGCAACCTGAGCCTCCCAGGTTCAAGGAATTCTCATGCCTCAGTGTCCTGAGTAACTCAGATTGCAGGTGCCTGCCATGGCAGCCGGCTAATGTTTTTGTTGTCGATGTCGTTTTGTATTTTCAGTAGGGACAGGATTTCACCCTGTTGGCCAGGCTGCCCTTGAACGCCTGACCTCAAGTGATCTGCCCTCCTCAGCCTTTCAGACTGCTGGAATTATAGGCGTGAGTCACCACGTCCAGGCCAGATAATTTCCTCTATAGAATTTAATTTTCTGATCCAGAGTCCAGATCAGGATCATGTCTTGCATGTGGTTGTCATGTCTTTTTAATTTCCTTTCATTTGGCATGGTTCCTTAAGTTTTCTTTGTCATTCATGATACTGATGTTTTTGAAGAGGATAGATAGACCAGTTGGTTTGCAGAATGTTCACCAGTTTAGGGTTTTTGTGTATTATTTAAAGACCTTTTTTCACTCACCATTTATGGGTGACTACTCATGCCATATAATCTGCTAGGTGCTAGTAGTCTAATTGCTAATGAGAGACAGGTTTAATATGATAAGGACAGTGAGAAGTTCAATAACAGAAGTGCAAAGGAGGCAACAAAGGTGTCGGAGGGCAGTCTTCGGAAAGGAGGAGGGTAATATTTGGAAAACTCTGTTTTCCTATTTTCTGGCAACAGACTCCTGAAATAATGTTCTTGTGATTCTTATCAACACATTTATTACACTAGCCTACGGCTTTCATTTAATAACACTGTGAGCATGACTATTGTTTTCTTATTTATATTTTATCGTTTACTGCTTAAATTGATTTTTTTCTTTTAAGGGCCTGAGCTGGAAGCTGATAGCTAGGAACTGGTTCAGCTGAAGACTGGTTGTGAGCATGGAGATGGTCCTACTGTGAAGGGGATGTGGCTGCCAAATCCAGAGCCTGGGAAACTGCCAGAAGAAGGTAGGCAATCTATTAAGCATGCAAATAGCAGGGTGTCTGTTTCTACAGTATTATAGTTTCAATAATGCACGGGTAATAATACTGCCTCTTCAATAATAGAGTTTTTGTGGGTTTTTTTTTTTTTTTTTTTTTTTTTTTTTTTTTTTTTTTTTTTTTTTTTTTTGAGACAGATTCTCACTCTGTCACTCAGCCTTGAGTGCAGATGCCTGATCTCGGAGGTCACTGCAAGTCCACCTTCCAGGCTCAAGCAATTCTTTAGTCTTAGCCTCCTGAGTAGGTGGTAGTAGAGCCACACATCACCATGCCAGGCTAATTTTGAGTAGAGACGGGTTTCAGCATATTTGTCAGGCTGATCTCGAATTTCTGACCTCAGGTGATCCACCCATGTCGGCCTTCCAAAGTCTTGGGGTTAGAGGGGTGAGCCACCCCGCCTGGCCAATAATAGAGTTCTTATATAAAAGTTATTTGAAACATAGTTCAGGCCCCAGCAGCAGACTTATAGACTGTCATATAGAAGCAAACTGAGTCAAAGCCATATTTAAATATAATTTTTGAGAATACGTCCTTAATAGCTCATAATTTTGAGATGCTTTTGTAAAGGTTTGCTTTTAACAAGTACATAACACATTTGTAACACACATCAGTTGGTGTGAAATATCTTGAAGCACGGAGGTAGGTTCTAATACCAGCTACTCAGGAGGAGTTTTATTTTTTTTTTCTGATTTTATATCATTGGGCAGACCCACCTGGTACAATGGTGAAAGTGGACATCCTTTTCTTATCCCTGAGGAGAAACTGACCCATTTCAACGTTTCGCCATCATATTTACTGTACTTTTTAGATGGACTTTATCAGAGTAAGTCATTCCATTCTGCTCGAATTTGTTGAGAGTATTCATTGTGAATATATGTTGAGTTTCATCTAACAGTGAATCTATGTTGACTACCACAGCAATTTTCCCATTAATCTGTTAATGTAGTTAATTAGATTGAAAAGTTTGTACTTTTTTATTTTTCATTTTTAAAAAATTGAGACAGGGTCTCACTCTGTCACCCAGGCTGGAGAAGCGATAATCCCATCTCAACGTCCTGAGTAGCTGTGACTATAATTACATGCCACCATGCCCAGCTAATTTCCCCCCAAACTTTTTTTTTTGGAGTAATGAGACTTTTTCATTTTTCTTAGGCTGGTCTCAAACTCCTGAGCTCAGCCTCTCAAAATACAAAGATTACAGGTGTGAGCCTTGGCCTGGCCAGGTTTTCCTTATGTAAGGGTCTTGTCTATGTAAAGACTAAACTTATCAGTCCCTCTGTGCAGATGGGCTAACAGCATGATGAAATTTATCATTCTGTTGATTTTTTTTTTTTTTTTTTTGAGATGGAATCTCGCTCGGTCACCCAGGCTGGAGTGCAGAGGTGCGATCTTGGCTCATTGCGCCTCCGCCTCCCAGATTTAAGCAATTCTTTGCCTTAGCCTCCAGAGTACCTCCAGAGTACATGCCACAATGCCTGGCTAATTTTTTGCATTTTTAGTAGAGACAGGGTTTCATCATCTTGGCCAGGCTGGTCTTGAACTCCTGACCTCATGATCCACCCACCTCAGCCTCCCAATGTACTGGGATTACAGGTGCAGTCTGTTGATTTAAAGAAAACTATCCTTGACTTTCCAGTGTGTAAGCACGTGAAAGCATAATTATTTTGAAAGCATATATTGTTATGGGTGTTGGGACCCCTGCACTTTCCGATGCTGTGGGAGCATGTCCTTGTAGGTACCTTTAGTCTCTTTTCTCAGCTACAAACATCTTAGAACCATGTATTGTGACTGGTAAGGAGAGTGTCTTGATAGTTTCAAGATGGAGTTGATTTTCAAATGGTGTCGCTCTGGCTGTCCTTGGCTCCTGTTTCCCTAATACTGTCACTTGTCCTTCTACGATTCTGATGCTACAAATGATAGATGTTTTAGTATTTTCTTACAGGTCCTTGATGTTGTATTTATTTTTCTTTCAGTCTCTTTCTCTGACTTGTTCATAGTGAAGAGTTTCTTTTTGGGGTAGGTTGCTGTTTCTGTTTAAGCAGGTGGTCTATCAGTCTTTCCAGGCAGTCACCATGGTCCTTTTCCCAATGGTAGGACCGGGGCAAGAGAGGGCCCTGGAGGGAAGGGGGGTTTAGTTGAAGATGGAGTGTTTTGAGGGGAGCATTATTTGAGATATCTAAGTCCCAGAAGCATAGGAAACAGCAGAGGGAAGTTGGTTGGATTCCATTATCCTCAGTGGGGATAGCATCCGGGACTTGGGGTGTGCGGGTGTGAATGGCAGCCCTCCCCTCTCCACCCCCCAGGCGCGCATGCTCCTTGGGCTCCTGCCTCAGTGCGCATGCTCACTGGGCATCTTCCTGTCAGCGGCTTCGTGAGTGTGGAGAACGCCAGGGAGCTGTGAGGGTGTGCGGTCGCGTTCCCTCTGCCTGGGCTCTTTTTTCTCTACTCAGACTCATCTGGTAGGTCCGCAGGCCAATCTTCCTGGGGGCTGAAGTGTGAGTGAGGCTGAGGAGGAAGCAGTGGGTGTCAGGTGTGTTTGGTGGGTCCCACTGCATGGTTTGTGGCCTCTGAGGGAGAACGGCCTCGTGGCTCTTGAAAGAGAAGAGCCTCTTGGCCTCCGAGGGAGAAGGGCCTCCTGACGTCCAAAAGAGTAGGTCCTCGAGGCCGTCCTCCTCCACCTCACAGGCTGTGAGGCCACCATTGCCTTTGTGGTCGTGAAGGGACCAGGAAAGTGAGGAAGGTGGGCTGCGGTGGGGAGGCAGTCAGGGATTCAGTTGAAGATGGGACGAGTGCTGGGGGTGATGTTGGAGGGATGAAAGTCCCGAGGTCCCAGGAACTCCAACACAGGGCAAATCCCTGAGTCCTGAATGGGGTCCTGGGTGGTGGGGAGGGGAGATGGGGGCGAGGCACACAGTAAAGAAGGGGCATGGCATTTGGGAAGGCTGCGGCCTGGTGAGCAGCCCCAGCGGCGTGGAGTGGGGGCGCCAGAGTGAGAAGCCATGCAAGGTCTCACATCCGTTATGGAAGGTCTGGAAACAATGGGAAGGACTGGGCAAGGCTGTGGGGTCCAAGCAAACTTGATTTGAGGGGCGTGAATGGCTCTAGTAAGTAGGAGTGTGCCAAAAGCAACAGTCACAAATTTGTGATTCACTGGTATTTTTATGTGGAGTCCACTTGTGAAACTAAACCTCATCTGAGGAGGGAGAATCCCTTGAGCAGGGGGGTTGAGGCTGTAGTGTGGTGTGATTTCGCCACTGCACTCCAGCCTGAGCAACAGAGCCAGACCGCGTGTTCAAAAGAAATTTAGAAAATAACGTCCTCTGCCTTTTGCCACACGCCTTAAGATGATTGTTCTGCCAGCATGGCCAGCATAAGTGGCTTTGCAGGTACTCAGAAAAGGTACACACGTATGCTTAACTGTGGGAATTATTGTGAGAGTATGTTCAAAAATACAACAAATTAAAATTTAGCCATGGAGGTGATCGAATATAGCTGTCCTCTCAAGTGCATGCTCCCAATCATGGTTTTCTGTTTTCAGTGTGAAATATGAGTTGGCGAGGAAGATCAACCTATCGGCCTAGACCAAGACGCTATGTGGAACCTCCTGAGGCGATTGGGCCTATGCTGGTGAGTGCTTTAATGTTAGTTTGATGTTTTCTATTAGCAGAAATTAATATTTGTGCTAGTGTTGTTGCATTAGTATATAGACACTGATAAAATTATTTCATGCTGATAAAAATAATTATGGCATCTAATGAAGGAAACATTGACTCAGGAGGATTTTGTTTTTCTCTTGTGTTCTTCAGCTTTTGCCCATGACTCCTTTCTCATGTTGCCCAGGCTGGAGTGTAATGGGGCAATCTCGGCTCACTGCAACCTCCGTCTCCCAGGTTCAAGTGATTCTCCTGCCTCAGCCTCCCAAGTACTGGGATTACAGGCACCTGCCACCATACTCGACTGTTTTTTTTGTATTTTTAGTAGAGATGTGGTTTCATTTTGTTGGTCAGGCTAGTCCTGACCTCAGGTGATCCACCTGCCTCGGCCTCCCTAAGTGCTGGGATTACAGGTGTGAGCCACTGTGCCCGGCCACTTTGCTTGTTAATGACAGATTGTACACAGCGATTCCAACACAGAATATAATACCTTCCAAAGTCTTTGTGGGTCACTTTTCTCACAGTAACCTTCCTGTGTGTAGAGTAACCTTATTGAGCATAGACAATAGAGTTGGAGAAACGTCTTTAGGCTTAGTTATGATCAGAAATATCTATGTATTCTGTGTATATTTGTATAATCATATATTAATAACAAAACTTTTTTTATTTGCACACACACATACACACACACACTTCCTAGCCCGAGCAGTTCAGTGATGAAGAATTGGAACCACCAAAACCTGAAGAAGGGGAACCAGCAACTGAAAGTCAGGTTTCTGTACCTGCTCAGGAGGGAGAGGATGAGGGAGCATCTGCAGGTCAAGGTGAAGGCAAAGGGAAGAAGAATGACTCTTGGGATGTGTGTGTGTGTATGTGTGTCATGCATTGTCACATAGCAGGAACAGGAGGAAATAAAACAATGGAAGGCATACCTGAAATGGACTGGAAAAGTGAGGAGGGCGTATAGTTTTTGCAGCTTAGCTTAGCTTAGCTTTTATCACTATGATAAAGCGTGTCCACTTTATGAATAAGAGAATGGAGGCTTGGAGGTTGTGTTATAACCAAGAACAGTTGAGTGGTGAATACAAAATTTGTATTTTGTTTTTTACTGTAAAGTAGCTTAATACTGGCCCAAGAAGAGACCAAGTTCAGAAGAGCAGAAGCAACTCTAAAAACCAAGTTGCTGAATGTTAGCCACCATTTCCATTGATTGTTATTTTTATATGGTAAGTTTATTAAAAGCTGGATAAATCAGGATACTGCCATACAGGTAGCTGGTTTAGTATGATTTTCCAAGTGGGTTTAGGATGTGATTTGATCCTGTTATGATTAGAAAAACCAAAAAAAGAATTACCCTTCCTGAGATTAACATGAGATAGAAATAATTTCTCCTAAACTAGTTTGAAACAAATCATTTATGTAACTCAGGTCATGGATTATTCTAGGGATTCACTGTTAACAGTTTCTAGAATATCACTGACAACAATGCCCATTAATTGCTGTCCACCCATTCCCTTATTCTCCGTGCAGGACAGTATATTTGCTGTGATTCACAAACCATGTTATTTTGGTGCTTTGTTCTACATGTGGTTCATTTATGGAATATTACATTTAGGGCCTTTGGACCTAAATATAACTTTATTTGAAGAAATTTACATTTCTCTTTACACCATATAAACTTACCATATAAAAATAGGTAATGGATGTCATGAATGGAAGATTTTTCGTAGTCCTCAAATCCATTCAGCTAATGAATCCTCAGAAATTTAAATTGTAATTATAACTGAATTCCTATCCATGTTGTAGACTTCAGATTTCTTAGCTGATGCCCACTGCTTTTAGTACTCTATGGCTGAATATAGGCATTGTACAAGTCCTGTGGTTTATCCTTAGATTGTCATTTCAGAGAAAGGTCTCAACCTGGGCTGAATGCCATGCACACATAGTCCCAGCTAATTGGGAGGCTGAGGTGAGAGGATTGCTTGAGCCCAGGAGTTCAAGCCCAGCTTGGGAAACATAGCGAGACCTTATTGCTAACAAATAAAGAAATACATAAAGATTTCATGTTATAGAAAAACAAATATAGAAAGTTTGTTCCTAGTTGCTGATAATGTTGCAAGTATAGCTCCTTCCTGAACTGTGACACTTAAAAATAGTTAAGATGGTAAATTTTATGTTGTGTATTTTTTTTTACCACAACAACAAACAAAAAAACTCCTGTCTACCCAAATTTAGTGTAGTTGTCATATAGTCCTCTAAATTTTCATTCGTATATTTTCAAGACATAACATTTGTAGAAAATTTGCAGTTATAGTACAATTAACTCATATACTTTTCACCTAGATTCACCAATTGTTAATAGCTTTTGCTCCATTGGTTTGATATATCTACCCTCCCTGTCTTGCCCTGCTGCCCACACACTCGCACACATGCTCATGGATATTATGTTTATTGTTATTAATGGTGAATTGTTTAGATAAAGCTTCAGGTATTATGATCCTTTACTCTGTGTACTGGAGTGTGTGTATATCATCAGAAGAAAGACCAAGTTATTCCTTGGATCAGCACTGCACAAAGATCAAAATCAGGAAATTTAACAATGTGAAAATGCAGTCATTTCATAACACAGTGTGTACTCAAATTTTCCCAATTATTCAATGTTTTTTCTTTCCTTCTTTTTCTTTCTCTTTCTTTCTTTCTCTTTCTTTCTTTTCCTTCTTTCTTTCTTTCTTTCTCTTTCTTTCTTTCTTTCTTTCTCTCTCTCTCTCTCTCTCTTTCTTCTCTTTCTTTCTTCTTTCTCTTTCTCTTTCTTCCTTCCCTTTC